ACGACATTTTGAGTGCGTTCGGTCAGGTAAGAACCAAGCTACTTTAGGACGATTCCTGAGAAACCAAAAGTGGCAGAGAATCTGGTCATCATAATCTCATGGTATAATGATAATCTGTTAAGATTACTGCCAGCACACCAACCACCCAGTAGCACTGACTACCGCTGTCTCTAACTTGAAACGTTCTTGCAACAAATAAATGTCTCCACATTCAAGGAATAAAAAAAGTCCCTCATCAACCAATTACTTGCTCACGTTTATGCTTGTGTCCAAAACAAATTCTTTTGAACGCCTTACATCATCAGTCTTTAACATAAAATCCTACAAGTGTTCTGTCATGATGCTTTTTAGCCTATGCAGAAACCTCATTTCACAAGTTATTTATTAATATTACGGTATTAGAACGAACTCATAAGCCTAGCTGATGATTTGAAAATACCATCCCCCATAAAAAAAAATTGTACTCTACCACACTCATGGGCGTAGCCAGGATTTTTTTCGGGAGGGGTTTGGGGGGGGGGGGGGATGCCCGCCCCCCCGAGAAAAAATTATATGTATTTATGTGTGTGTGTGTATATAATCTTTATTACATTCTGACCCTTCATTCTTTCGGAAGACGTTTATTGTGCCCTAAAATAGGTTCTTCCTGAAGTTAGTGGAAAAATTGTAGATTCCCTGCGCATTGTTAGCAAGGGGGTTTGGGGGAGCGCTTGGAGCTCCCCCATCGCGGGGCGGAGCCCCGCCGCCAAGCACTATTTCTGGTATTGAAAGCCAACAAAATGCATATTCTGAGGTATTTACAGTGCATTTTCCTGCTATTAACAAGTTTATTTTCAAAAACCTAATGTGCTATTCTTACTGACTTAGACCCTCCCGCGCCGTTCAGCGCATTTGCTGGCAAGCTCTTCTTATTCATTTTAACGGAGAACATGACCCGCAAACTCATGCGACGCTCTGTCACAATCTTACTAAGGGGTCGACTCCCAATCCGGCATAGGATTTCCTTGATTTAGACCCGATCTCTATAACTGACTCCTAAAATCTGTCTTAGCCATGTTTGTTGAGACACATTTAGTGTTTTTCAATTTTGGCAGATGACTATTCACTTCACTTTATTAATGGAGCCCCGCCACTGGTAGAAATGTGTAACCTATGTTGAATACGCTCTTGGAATTAAGTGACTGTAGTTTGCTTTAGATTTTACATCGAAAAGGGAATGTTTATCGTCAAAATCATCTGTTGGGGGTTTTAAACTAAAAAATCTCTGGAGTTGTTGTTTTTTTAAAATTCAAAACCCCATTTAGCTACGGTAATAGAACTTAATAACTGTAGTTTGCTTTAGAATAATATTGAAGATAGAGGTTTTCCACCTCAAAACACTCTGTAGGGGAATTTTAAACTCAAAACCATCTGGAGGGGTTTAAAGTTTTAAAAAAGCCATCTGTATAAGAGGGGTTTAAACTCAAAAACCCCAATAGGATTGGCTACGCAGAAATAATTTTGGTGTGTACTTTGCTTTTTTTATATTGAAGAGGTATTTTTTTAGCATCAAACCTCTCTAAAGGGGGGTTTAAACTCAAAACCCCTTTTAGCAACGCTCATAGCATTTTTGAGTGCGTAATTTGCTTTTTTTACATTGAAGATGTATTTTTTAGCTTTAAACCCGCTGGAGGGGGTTGAAACTGAAAACACCTTTTAGCAACTCTCATAGCATTTTGGGTGTATAATTTGCTTTGTTTTTATTATTTAAGGTATTTTTTTATTTCCATCCCCGCTGAAGGGGGGTTTAAACTTAAACTCAAAACTGAGTCAAAACCCATTTCGCTACGCTCATAACATTTTGAGTGCGTAATTAGCTTTTTTTTTTATATTGAAGAGGTATTTTTTAGCTTCAAACCCTACTGAAGAAAGAGGGGGAGGGGGGGGGGAACTCAAAACCCCTTTGGCTACGCTCATAGAATTTTGAGTGTGTAATTTGCTCCTTTTGATATTGAAGAGGGGATTTATTGTAAATTTTGGAAGGGGTTTTAAATCAAAATCTTCCTTAACTGTGCTCTTGGAATTTTGGGATTGTCGTTTGCATTTTTTGTTTTGTTTCATAGAAGAGTGGGATTTAACTGTAAAAACCCCTGATAGGGTTTTTTTAACTCAACCCCCCCCCCCCCCCTGGTATAAGGTTTTTAAATCGACCCCCCCCCCCCCCCGTTAGAGGGTTTTAAACTCAAAACCGCCTTAGTGATGGTTTAGTATTAAAATCTCACCTAAAATAAACAAAATCAAAGCAAAACATCAGTGAGTAAATTCCGATCCCCCCTCCGGGAGGGGGATTTCATTTCGGGGGGGGGGGGTTGAACCACCCATGACCCCACTAATACCCATTGGGTCAGTTATTACAAGAAGGCACTCTTTGCTATCATTTTTACATTAGCCATCGTCTTTACATTCCACGTTTCATATTTCTGTTCATCAATTCGTTACCTCAAGTGCTAATACCCAATCGGGTAAGTCAACGTTAAATCACATTAGTGTTTCCAGACACTTATAGCCTACTGTACTGTCTCGTGATCGCATTTAAAGACATTCAATTATTCAAAGACATTGGAAGTTGAAGGTGCACAGACATGTATATCCAGGAAGTAAAGCGTTTCAAGTCTCGCATCTTCTCGGACAGGAATGTGTTTCTAAGTCGTCTAACGTGACATGATCTCCAGGAGAAAATGGAGCTGTAAAATGTCCCTCGTGAAAGTTATCTCGAGATTCAGCAACGTTCCTGAATTGTTTGTGTCAAACTGGCGAGAAAATCAGTAATTTGACTGCAACTTTTCGCAGAGGATGTCAGCAATTTTTGTTTTTCATCTCTCTTCTTTTTCTTTATCTTTTCATTTCGATTCATATTTGGTGACATGTTTAACTGTTTAAATAATAATTGTGATTTGTCAATGACTTCGTAGCTGTGAAATCCCGGGATCTTGCGACGTACCGATCAACCCAATCATATAATGCACATTAGAGAGACAATTCATCTATGAGTCAATTTTGATAGCAGTGAATCTACAGACCGCGGCAGGCATAACTACATCATAACATACAGAAATACTTCATAATGTTTAAGTTTAGGGTTCCATTTTAGATTCACACGAGTATGTTTACAATAGTTCGACTGCTGTAGGAAATAGAAAAAATATAGGCCTTAATCTGTTTCTTAACCTCTTAGCGCTAATAGAGGATATGCGAATCCATTATTTTGGAATATGTAGCTAGTAGTACACAGTAAAGTTAGTAAAGATCTTTTATAAAAGGTAAGTCGAGGGCAATCACGTTTATGGGACTTATTGAAATTTAATGTGGCTCTTTCGGCAGCCCTACCGCCCATAAAGCACCGGCCCCTGGCGGCCTGGTCTAAATATTAGACATAGAGAGAGAGAGAGAAAATGGATGGGGCGTCGTTTTCTTTATCCAAAGATTGAGAGCCGAAAGATCAGTAGGCCTATGTCACCTGAATTATAAAAAAAAAATAGACATGTCATTCACTTCTCTCAAAAGACCTATTACTACTAGTCTACTAGTAATCTTTATATAATTCTACTAGCTGATGTCCTACCCGTTCTACGCTTCGATTTTCAGAGTTGGTATAGGCCTATATTTTTTTTTAGCCCGCAACACTCTTAAACCCCTTAGTAAAACGGCCCGCATCACAACGCTCCCACCTCCCCAACACCTCTAGCTCTCAAATTCTATGTCCTTTTTTGTCTCTTTATCTAAATCTTGTTTGCTTTGAAGTTTCCTGGACAAAATGAAAAAAAAAATCTTTTTGATTTCCCGCGGATAGTGTCATTTTCTAGTCTACAACCGTAATGCACTGTTGTTTTAATCACTGACTGCCCCCCCCCCCCCCCCCCGCAAAGGGCGTGGCACAAATAGTATAAACTGGCCGACTATAAGAACAGGTAATGCTACATCTTCAACCATAATGCAGACACAGACCGGCAAAGATCTATGTGTCACTGTGCGTTATATCTAGGTCTTTTCATTAGGCCTGCACTAGCACCATATATACAGTAGAAGCAATTCTTAAAGGGTGAAAGGCCGCTGACTATGTGAATGACTGTTTAAACATCTAATGTAGCTGGCGCTACGCTCTGGCAGTGTTCTTTAACTATTATCAGACGATCTGTATCGGTGTTCCTCTCTTGAGTCTATATAAACGTTGGCTACCTACACAGGCCTACGGAAGACGTAACCCAAAGGGAGGGAAGGTGCTCAGAGCTCTTCTATCGTGAAGTGTAGAGAAATGTATTTGCGCCGTCCTTACGGCTATGCTGCAGGTTAAACATTGTATAGGACTCCTTGCATTTTAGTGGTCTACCGATCGATTAATAGACCAAAAAGCTAAAATGGCAGGATGGACACGGCATGGACTTAACTGAGGGGGGGGGGGGAACAGAATAGAGTCCGATGGCGAGGTACTGTTGTGGCTGTATGCTCCACTGGCAGTCAATACAGGATTAAGTTAAGTAGCTACTGGTGTTTACAGCGCGGACTTCATCATAGTTAGTTGAAATACTATCAGTGCCTTTGTTTAACCTTAGTACAAAAAGGCACACACGGCTTATTTTTTATTTCAAAGATGGAGGGTGTCCAACAGCGGTGTGTGTTAGGATTTCAATATTAAAATAGGGTCGTCATCATGTTTATTATTATACATAAAGGTTTTAAATATTAATTTAACCTGCAGCTTAATTCAACTGTTCATGGGTCCACCCTGCAGACTGTACATTTAGGGTGTATTATACATTTATTTTAAATTTATTCTTTTGAATTTTGTTGTCTGTTATGTTTTAAAAGAATATTTAGCTTATATTGTGCAGTTCATTATAGTATATTATATATATATAGTAATCCTTTTAGTAGGATCTTTCTTATAGTCCATTTGAGATGATTGGTAAAGCTCACCACTCATAATTATACATTTTGAAACTAAAATACAGACTCTCAGAACATTTGTTTGATGATTAAGCTTTAATTTATTTTATAAACATGCAAAAAAAAAAAAAAAGTAATTGAATAAGTTAATAACTTTATGGCAAGGGAAGCCACTCTTTCATTATATTTTTTTTTTACAAACTGTACACCCTGTAGAAAAAATAGCATATATAGGTAAGGGGCATCTTGAGCAGACAATTTTTACATTTTGTGGACAAGTGACTCAAACCTGGTCCACAAGAAGACGTGTAACCATTACAATTTAATTGAAAGATGGTAATAAAAAAATACAACTAAACAGACTTTGTTGTTTTTTCTATAAAAAAAAGTTGAAAGTTATACAATTTAAAATTTTCATGTATTATAATAGTAAGATATGTTCATGTATTGTTTGATAGTTTTGCTTGCAATATTGAAGTAAACAGTTATTAGCTAATGTAACAAGATATCCAATTTACACCAATTTTTTACAACAAATATTTCTGAGGAATTCATGAATACAGTCCTAGTTTTGTTATTCTTTAGATTAGTCATCATAACTATAAATGACTTAAAACTTATTTTGCATGTGATAGCTAATACAACACTGTTAATTAGCTAAAACTCTAAAAAAAATACTTTGGCTGTACAGACTTTGCAAAGTACTAAATGTATTCTATGCTCTAGTTGTACATTCATTTTGAAAGGATGGACATCAGAGGGCACTTAACAATTCTGGGAAGTAGAGCAACACTGTCTGCCATGTCACAAAACACAAGCACAAGAAAATCAAGGCACATTAACATTTGGAATGTTTCTTAACATCACAACACAGAATGTAGTAGTAACTGAACTTTAATACTAACAGGAATTCAATGGTCAATCTGCAGCGCATCCTTTTTATATAGAGTCATTTTACCTCATCAATTTCTTCTTTTTTTTAGCTATGCAAAATGGTGCCTCCAATCTCTCCCAAACAAGGCTAAAGGATAAACTGGTGACCTTATTTTAGGATATGTACCAGTTCTCTACATACTCACTTCAACTTTTCAACCCCATCAAAAGTTAGCTCCTTTCCCCAATCCAAAACAAAATTAAAATCTAAAAAGTATTTCTAGTGCTAAAGTCTACTGAAATCACCCATTGCAAGAAAAACAAGTTAACGGTAAGATTATTGTTATTCTTAATAGTCACATTCACATTCTACTGGTTTCCAATTTATCACTGGACTGGATACAAATGAATGGCTACAGAGTATGATTTTGAATTTTTGACATGATGAAATTTCTGCCTCCAGCTGTCAAAACCTTTAAGCTCTGCATTTGTATATAATGCCTACAAAAGCTTACTTTATATATACAAAATATATTATTTAGTATAATACATAAATATATACATATAATATATACATCAAGGTCACTTGAAATGTAAGGAAACAAAACATTTTTGAAACAAAAAACAAATATTACGGTACAGGTATTTCACACAATAGCTAAAGTTAGTTGACAGGATTTTATTTTTTTCAAAACGACAGGACTAAACATTTTGAGAAAATAAAAACATAGTTTAAAGTAAGACATTTCCCTATGTATCTCAGCTCCATGCTAAGAATGTGTCCAACAGAAAATAAAAAGTTGACACGCCAACAGAAGGAAAAACTGACAATGTTGAAATGCCAAGTCAACCAATCTAGATGGGGAAAGCACTACTAAAATGTGTAGTACATTGGGCAAGATCTTAGTCTGTTGAAGATCTGATGCATTGTGGCTGTTAACAAAAAGATATTAATGCTCAATTACAGATAAAGTACCCAAAAAAAAAAAATCCCAAAAATAATTTGATGTCCCTCACTTTACCTCCTGGATGACGAAAAAAGAGGGAGGTTAAGAAAGAGATCTATGTGGGAACTAAATTGTCTAACTCATAAAACATTTTGCATACATAATCCAGCAATCTTACTTACACTTCCCCTCACTTTAGACAAGTTTTAGAAATGATAAAGTATAATCTCTTTATTCTTGAACAGCTTCTCCCATAACTTATAAGCAATCAAATAAATGATAAATGTGTATGAAGTATATTTACAATTGTACTAAAGTCAACAAAGTAATGTGCTTGATATGATACATTTTACTCTATTTTTCAGTTGGCAAAACCATTCCATAGACTAGCAATACAGCTATACATAACAAATGTCCTCATTCATCAATGGGACCTTAATATGTTCCTAGTTGTATTCTAACGTCCTAAAAATTATTTATTTAATTTCTTTTATTATATGCCAAGGCACAAATCCATTAGAAAGACACTCATCTAAGGATGATGTGTTTTGAGGTTCATCTTTATAGATACATGTATTAAAACACAAAAATAACATAAAATAAAAAAAAAAAACAAGCAAATTCAGAATGGATTTTTGATTCTTCAATAGACAAGCTTAAAAGGTTTCTCAGCCACAGGCACCGGGTATTTTTTTTCTCAAGATCTTGAGTTATTTCAAATAACAATTTTTTTTTTGTTAGGGTGATTGAATCACTTGACAAAAAAGATTGCAATGCAAAATTTGATATTGCACTTCAAACACTTGGTATAATGAGATGTGATGCATTGTCAAATAATTTGATTTCAAACACTTCACAATTCTTTGAATGAGTAGATGAGAATGAATGAAAATGTCACTGTAAGCAGTGAGGAAAAGATCATTGATTGACATTGTTTTTATGGTATAGAGAAAAAAAATACTTTTTTCCTTTTGCTAAATCTTGAGAACTAGGAAAATATCTTAGCTAAAGAATGATCATGTACATGATTTACAAAGTAGTATCAGATAAAAATAAATCCTAAAGCCTTTATCAAACAGAAGATTCATAAAGTACTCGTTCTTGTTGCTGTTGAGTGTTGATCTGATATAGACCTTCTCTAATTAGAAACCTGCTAGCATCAAATCTGCCTTTCTCGAAGTATTCTTGAAGAATATGAGATTTTGGAGGGAAGAAAGCATCTTTGCCTTTCTTAAAATTGTTCATATTGACCTGTGACAGAAAAAAACATTATATGAATGGATTGAAGCACATATGTACAAATTTTGTTTTAAATTTAAGTCTTTTTCTCTGATTTAAGGGGATAACGACAGTTTATTTTGTAAGCAAAACTTTTAATTCATGACTTTTAGCAACCTTTTCAGTTATGGAATGTGACCATATCAATTGTAAGTAAGGAAAGCAAGCTTAACTTTATTAAAACATTTTTCAGATATAATTTAACTTGAAAACTAAATAAACCAAGAAAGCTATAACCATTCCAGTTTATAGGAAGTGTTCTCAAATAAGAATATAGCAGCTATGTTTAATGAAAAAAAAATAGTCTAACCTCTACCTGATAGTCCTGATTTTGGAAATTTATAAAATGGGCTTTTTTCTCTAGCTCTTGACCTGTTTTAGGGCCAATATCTGACTTGCCATCGAAGGGAGAAACAGTAATGGTTCTTCCACTTTCAAATCTAGGCATATTGTCTGTCAAACCACCATCTATATATTTCTGGAAACAACACAAAAGAAATAAACATTCAATATCTATTCAGAAAGATACTTCTTAGCAAATAAAATTTTCCTAAAAGTGATTGTCCATTAGAAGTAAACATTTATTAGAGCTGTTCATTTTATTTTATGTTTATGCTTTAAAATCCTTCTGAAGCATGCAATAAAATAATATAATTTCATTAAGGATAACAAACTTGTGAATTTTTTTTTTCTTTGTAAAAAAAAAAAAAAGGTGGGGGAAAGGGGGGTATCCATGGGTACTATCTGTGGAAGTCACATATGACCCTTTCTCTGTCAGAGGAGCTTGCCATTCTATGTACGTAATAGCACTGGAGGACCTAAGTCTAAGTAAGTAAGTTAGACTTAGATTGAAGAGTTTAAAGGACAACACAGAGTTTCATCAGCTGCATGTTCAAACCATGGAGCAGGTTATATGAAAAGCTACTGGGTTGAATATTTTGCTCTTTGGGTATTAACAAGAGTGTAATAATGCCAGTATAATAACCAAACATTTTTTTATTCTCCTTTAAAAGTTAAGGACACTATTAGGGACTTTTTTTTCATTACAGTAATCTACGTGTTAAATTTTTAGCAAAAAACTTGTAGACCTATAAATTTCAATAAAACAAAATATTTAACTGGAAAATCATTTGTGAAACATACTTTTTCAGTAACTTACCTTGCCGCCAATGGTTGGTGCCTTCATCCCAGCATACACAGGAATATAACAACTGGCAATTAGCGCCTACAAACAGAAAAATTGGATTAAGTAATTTATACTGAATTTAATAGATGACATTTAACAGTAATAATCTTTATTATCCAAGAGGAAATTTCTCTTACAAGTTTGCATTACAAAGCAAATATCACACTAAATCTCACAGTTTCACTTAAATATTACATGTGAAATTTATATCAAGAGACTTGGACAAAAAAGTTCTTGTGTCTGTTTCTGAGATTGGTATTTTGAATCTTCTCTGTGATGGTAAAATGTTTAGATCGTGGCCCTAAGCAAGGGTGTTGTTATTTTTTTTATGGTAAAAACAAATGTGAGCATGGCACTGACAAAGCTTTTTGCTAACATTAAAGGAGGGCATTTGCATTACTAGACTTTATCTTTGTTGTTAAGAAATAGAAAATAAAATCACCAGTTTCATAGTAACCAACAAATAAAAAACTTACGTCAATTAATTCATCCCTAGACTTGTAGTCAGATATCAGCTCATTTTTCTTTGTCTGGGCATTGGTCAGAGAGATGTACAGCTTGCCCTGGGCTATCACATGGGCATTTTCTGGAAGTAGGTCATCTAGCATATAACGTAGACTCCTGGTAAAACTGTAACCAGGTGTGAGTGCGCCTAGCGTTTTTTTGCGTATCTCTTTAGCTAAGTTCTGAACATGATCAGATGCTTCCTGTAATAGATGAAACAAATTTATATTCATTATTTTCTGAAAAAAAAAAATTAAATTAAGATATGCTGCTGTATTGATACCGTAATTGATACTGTACATAACATATACCCGGTACATTCTTTGATTGCTTATAGTATGTCTCATTTGTGAATGATGACAATTTTTATGACTATAAAGCTAGTATCTTGATTGGGTTCTCATGATAAGTGGTATTTCTGCCATTTGCTAACTTTCAGCATTGTTCTTGTTAAAGTATCTCCCAAGGAATACCATTTCTGTGTTGGGTTGCATTCTACTGGATTTATTTTATTTTAAAATATTACATTCTTCAAGATGTATATGAGTGTTTCTCCAGTACTGGTGACAAATAGGTATTGGTTTACTAAAAAATCTATAACTCAAAAACTTCTTATTTAAATGTCACAATTTTCTTTTCATTGCACTTAGAAATGGTTTACCTATAAGTTGTGATATTTTGAGCTTGAAAAGTGCATAGTGGAATTTTAAAATTGTAGAAAATGTGTGAAATAGTGCACAAAATGGCATCTTTTGATGTAACATGGAATACCTGGCTTAGGTTGAAGTAATATTCTACTAAAAGCAAGGATTATTGAACAGACATTTTTGTTGAAATAGGTTAACAATATAATGTTATTGCATTATCTATATCTTTGTATTTTATATTTACTTTGGTATTACTTAGATGTCGCCGTAAAAAATGCGTCACAGGTGCATCACTTGGTGTCCCACTAAACTTGAAATTTTAAACCTTTATCAATTGTAAACCAACTAAAGGATTCTGCTCCCAATTGTGTCTCTGTTACTAAAAGCATCAAAGATTAATTTACACAGTGATATTTTTCTTTAAAACTGTAAAAATTGATATAATTGTAGTAAAATAGGTCTTGGTGTCCCAGGTGAAGCACCTCAAACACGCTTGACAAAAAGAACAACCAAAGTTATTAATGTGATGGGAATTACTTAATGGTATCTCTGATACTGCTTAGTACACAATTAGCTACATTTTCTTGGGAAAAGGCTACATAGCAATTAACAGGAGACATTAATAGACATGGTGTCCCACATGTTTTCACTGTAGCACCCAAAACACTGCATGTCCAATCATACCAGAAAATCTCAGAGATCTAGATATAAGTATTTTTCTCCCCAAAGTTTTGAATTATAATAAGAATTAATCTTATTATTATCAAGTTTGATCTAGAATACATAGAATACTATTTTTTAATCTAACTTAATGTAAACCTTATTGTTTTATCATTGTTTGTGGTGCTTCACGGGACACTAAACCAGTCTTGATCTATATATAGGTCTTGTATAGATTTAAATCTACTCTATTTTTCAATTTATATGTAAATCTAGTTTTGGATCTTGTTCTTGGTAAATTGAAAGTCAGAAAGCTGCAACTTTTAGTCTATGATTAGGTCATGTTTGAGGCAGTTATGTCTAATATATTTTTTAAAAGGATTGTTGAACACATTACAAACATTCATTTATGGTTATAGAAAACTATTTTGTGAATCACTAATATAAGAATAATTGATATTGTATTTACAGACTTTAAATTTTTTTATTTTAGCATGTATAAACAAAAAAAAACTATATATTTCATATTGGTGTCCCGTTGTAGCACCAGCAACATCATGTGATATAATAGTCATGTTATAATAAATGCTTGAATTATCGTTGAGATATTGCAGCAAATAATAACCTATATATTTAGCTATAATGCAAGTATAGCATAAATTCTATTTTCTTATAAAAAAATCTTATTTAAAAAACTTTTACCAGTAGTGTCTAGCTGCTTAATACAATAGAAACATTCAAATTATGCTAAAAAAGCAAACAAATTAACAGTTAGCTGTACTTAAATCATAAATGGTGTCCCAATAATGCACCTGAAATGCAAAAGTGGGTACCCCTTTTGCCAGTACTGCTGAGGAAATGTATGTATTCCAATTCATTTTCTATTGATAAATTCTTAAAGTACAATGGCTGAAGAAGTGAATACACTTAAAATGAAACCAAAAACTTCAACTTCAATTTTTAGCCAAATGTGACACTTTTTGATATCAGTACTGGAGAAACACTCATATATCAGATCAAATGATCATATTATATTATATGAAAAACATGCATATTTGTAACCCTGCCTGACCAAGGAAGGGTTACAATACATGCATGTTTTTGTATTTTCTATACTGTTGTTTACCCTTGCAGTAGCTCATTTTTATATATAAAAAAAAAGTAGAATACATCCCTTTCCCAGCCCCCTCCCAAAAAAAACCCCATGCTTATTAAGGTAACAAAAAGGCAATATATTAACACTACTTAATATGAAAAAAAGAAACCAGAGGAAAAAAACTTTACTTTGGAGGTAGCAGGTTTATAATTGGCTGCTAAAAGAATGATAAGAAAATTGTTTTTGATTAATGTTCATGACAGCATTCTTTTCTAATCTCTTCTTCACATTCAAAATCAACAGATCTAAATATTTATAAAAGAGAATTATTTATAACCTTATCGGATTGTGTACAAAACAAGAATAATTAAATCCCTTCAAGAAATTACTCATTTCAAAAGTGTTGCCATTATGCTAATAAACTTTCTAAAACTGTAACAAAAACATACAATTGTTTCCTTTGGTTTAAACTCAGTGCCCCCTTCCACCATCACGCATTTTAATTCTTGTAAAGAAGTTCTAGATTCTGTTTTACAACCTCCTCCACTTCCTCAACAGCCAAGATATACACAACAAAAATGTAGTGGGATGATTCA